ATCTGAGCCCAAGTTCTACCATTACTTATGCCGCCTGACCTTGGGCAGATCCCATCAGCTCTCTTCTCTGTCAAATGAGGATATTAATAATGCCTCTCAGTCAGGTTGTTGTGAAGATCAAATAAGATAAGGGATATGTGAACATTTTGTTCACATTAAAGCTTTAAACAAAATTAGTTCTTATCTCCAGGAACAGAGAGTCAAGTTTCATCTGCCTTTTAAGTTCATTCTCTCTGGTCATGGTGTTATCAAGTTAATTTCCCCTTCCTCTGCTCTCAGATGGTCAGATTCCCATCCTCCTACTCTCTCTCACCTCTATTAACAGGAGTTGTTCTTTTTCTAGTTTGGAATTTTTGCAATTTGAGATTTGCCCAAGGAAGAATGATTTAAAAAAATCGGTCCAAAAACAAATTAATAGAAATAACTTCTGAACATTTTAAGGCCATGGGTTTACAATAAAGCTTATTCTTTGCCGTGGGCTGTAGTTTCAAAATGAAGTTGAATTTCCCATTATATATATATATATATAAAATGAACTTGAATTTCCCATTTTATATATATATATATATATATATACATATATATATCCTGTTTATTATTCCAAAAAGAATGTATTTACTGATTTTAGGGAGAGGGACAGAGAGAGAGAAACATTGATGAATCGATGACAGAGAAACCCAGGCATGTGCCCTGACTGGACATGGAACCATGACCTCCTGGTTCATCTGCTGATGCTCAACTACTGAGCAACACTGGCCTGGCAAATGTGGCTTTTTGTTGTTTTAAATTTCCTCTGTATATAAGTAATATTTTAAAAAATCACTGTGTGTGTTTTTAACTCAAGGCAAATAGTGGATCTAGTTCAATCTTCCTGTTTTATAAATGAGGAAACAGAAGCCTAGAGATATTTCATGACCCAGTTTAAGTATCTTCTCCTCAAATAAGCTTTCTCAGTTTTCTCTTCTCCCTCGAAGGCTGAGCAAGGTACCCTCCCCCTGTCATAGAACTTATTGGTGACAGACAGAACCGGATTCTGAAATCCTTATAAGAAAGAACCAAGTCTTCTCTGCATCCCAGGAACCTCTGACCACCATGTAGCATCTTCTGCTTCCATTTCATTGGCCAAAACTGTGTCACATGATAACCTTAGCTGCAAGGGAAGCTGGGAAAGAGAGTTTTTCGCTGAACATGCTACCTCCCCCACAGAAAAAATCAGGGTTCTGTGAACACAGAAGAAAGGGAGATGGATATTGAGTTGGCTACTCATAACGTCTGCTGCAGCCTGTGACATAGTCAGAGCTCAATAAATATTTGCAAATTGAATGTCAGCACTAGGCATGCAAGATTAAACGAGTAAACTGTCCAAGTTCATCCTAGTAATAGAACAGGGGCTAGGACGTGGTTATGCTAAGTTCCAGCCCAAAACTCTTTCTACTACCTAGTACCACCTCAATATCTCAAATCCAGAAATATGAGTATTTGGTTCTGCATTCTTTTCAAGAGTCATTGTTTTCTCTGTGGCATCTGGTTGCTCTAAAAGATATATAACCAATCTTGTTATTGGGGTTTGCTCTCCAAATCCTCTGTAGTATTTTCCCAAAAACCTTAATAATAGGAATGTGACATTGATGAGAATCTAATAAATGTAAGATCTTGATGGGTTTTGTGGGGTTTTCCCAGTTTTTGACTTGACTTACTTCCAGACTCAAATTTATTATGACAGGGAACTCTATCTCACTCAACACTACAGAGTTATTAATAACTTGCCCTGCTGAATAAATCAGAGACCCTGAAAAAATGTGGAGTAAGCACTTGTTATGCACATATGGGATTTACCAAGTTTCCGCATTTGAAGGTCTAATATTAGGATTCACACGTTATGCAAGGCTTTGCAGAGGAAAAGACATTTCAAATCTTTTCGACTTTGAAAATAGGGTATACTTTGCATGCAAACAAGTCTATGTGAGTATAGCAATTGTGAATAAATCACCCAGAAACAAGGTTTCAGTAAACTATAAGAAACACATTTCAGGATCATTTTAAAAGCAGAAAATAAAATTAGATGGAAGGAAAAAGAGTTAGATGGAAGGATTGACACGGACTAGTGGATCAGGAGTTGGTTGGCTGCACTTTAGGTTGGGCTCTGCTTGTAATTAGTGGTGTGACCTTATGGAATCCTTTAACATTTAGGGGCTTCAGTTCTGTCATCTGGAAGAGGAGAGGATTGTACCAGGTGATCTGCAAGGCCCTGTGTATGTCTAAGTTCTGTGATCCCATTTCTTACAGACTGAGATCAAAAGAGCTATCTTGTGAAGTTACATGATGGCCAACTCTGAAAAGGGCATGCTAACCTTTTGCTGGTGTTAACTTCGAATTTAAGGCTGATAACTTTTTACATTTTATTTATCATAGAATTATTATTTTGGCATATTACCATTTGTTAGCAATTTACAGACTTGTAATCATTAGAAACATACTGTCTTGAATTCTACTGTTTTCATTTTGTCATTTTATCATAAATGTTTCATTTAACATTTTATCATAAATATTGGTCTGTATTTCAACAGTCTTCATAAAGATGGTGCCATATTGTTCAATTTGGCTGATATGCCACAAATTTGGGGCCATCCCTCCCTTCTACCCACACCCCACATTCAGTTCTTCAGCAATCCTGTCAGCTCTATCCTGATATTATGCCCAGACTCTGACCACTTTTCAGCATCTCCATTGCAACCATCCTGTCCAAGCTACCATTTATGTACCCTCTGAGTTAACATATGTCCACCTACTCAGCCCTGAAAAACAAAACAAAATAATATAAACACTAGTTATTTTAAAGAAGAGTAACTCAGCAGGGTGGAGCCTCTCTTTTGACCCTTGCCCTTCCTCTTCTTGCTTTCTGGAAAGATATGATGGCTGGACCTCCAGTCCTCATATTGGGCCCATGGAGCTACTTGAGGATGAAAGCAACATGCTGAGCATGGCAGAGCAGAAAATACACTCAGGTCTCTAATGCTATCAGAGATGCCATATCTTCCCTAAAGTGTTTTCTAGTAGGCTTCTTGTTTGTGAGAGAATAACCCCTACTTGGTTTTAGTTGGGTCTCTGCTACTAGCAACTGAACACAATTCCCAAATGATATGCCACCTTATGAACATGACTTTGAATTACTATTCCGTCCAGGTCTGGCCTTCTCCAAGAGCTGCCACAAAACTACTGCAATATTAAGAGCACTGAAAGAGTCAGCTGCTTGAGAAATATACTTACCTGGTTGCTGATGCCTAAAAGTCCTGGGATAATGGCCAGAGCCTGTTTTTCCACTTAAAATAAGGCTTATGTGGCAAATACAATAAAATTTATTCTCTGAGCTTGTCCTGAGTTTTGATCAGGGTGGGGAAGGAACAAGATCTGGATGAATACCTGCGGGAGATGGGTATCAAAGGGAGAGGAACTGATGGCAAGCACAAGTCCCAGATGACGTATCTCACCAGCTCCATAAGTTTACCTTAGGGTGGGCCTAGGTGAGGGACCAGTAATAAAATAACTAGTGTTTATATTAGTTACTTATACTATTTCATTTAATCCTTGCAACATCCCTGTAGGTTAGATGGTATTGTTATTATACCCATCTCACAGATGAAAAAACTGAGGCACAGAGCTAAAATAAACAGGAGACTTGACATCTGAACCAACGTCTATTCTCGTGCCAGAGCCTTAGCTCTAAATATAATTTTTAAAATAATAATAATAAGAGCCAACCTATATCAAGCATTTATTATGTGCCAAGCATCTTATATCTCAACTTTAACAACCTCAAGAAGCAAAACTCACATCCCCATTTTGAAACCTGAGGCAAAGAGAGGTTAAGGAATTTTCCCCACGGTCAATGTTGCTAGAAAGTGAATGAACCCTAGTTTGTCTCACTCCTGAACTAATAAATATTGAGACACATTTATTTCTTCTAAACTTTTTCGAGGACCCTCAATTTTCAACCCACTAAAAAGCTAGAAAATAAACACATTGTGCAGTACAACTTTATTTTCCAAAGCTCTATTCACCGTGAGAAGCAAACACTATAGAAATCCACTCAGACCAGCATTGAAGACACCCAAGAGACGGTGATACCCATCATTTTCCTTATTTTACAAATTTGGAAGCACAGCAGTCACACAACTTACCAAACACAATAGAGGAATTCAAATACATTCTGGTGGGGTGCCACGGGACCCCAGTCCTGGCAGGTTAGTGGCGCGATAAAGGATGCTATTCTGCATATACAGGTCCCAGAGACTTCAGACTTGAAGAAGAAATGTTAAAGATGAAACTAATGTCCCCTCCTCCTCTCCCTCTTTTGGAATGAAGGTTCATTTTTCACTCCTGAGGGTTTCAGTCACCGCAGCCAATGGTCTGGGAACAATGTTTCACATGTTGGGAGCTCAAGGGCCGGGGCGAGAGGTGCTTGGAAATGAAAGAGGCGCCATGGATCATGCTGACATCCAAACAAGCGCCTCGGAAAAAGAAGAAGGGGCTGGGCTGGGACAAGGAGCTGGCTGCCGCCTTCCTGCTGCTTTCTGTGGCCTCGGGCATGTTCTCTTTCAGCGGACAGGAAAAGTCACGGAAGGGACTGGAGGAAACAGGAGAAATCCCGAGCTGGGGCTAGAACTCACTCTCTGGTACGTAGGGACAGACTGCAGTGTCTCCTTGGCCTCTCCTCTTTGCCGAGACCTTGATGTGGACGGATTGAGTCTCCAAGAATTCAAGCTGGAAGGTTCTAAAAGGAAGACAGGTCTCTGAAGCTGTGTTTGGAAACACCCCCTTGCAGTGCTGCTGTGAGGGTCAGCACCTCGGCATTTCACCTGCCATGTTGAAGGGCCCAACGAGTGGACTGTTAAGGCACATGTTGGTCAATGCGTATTTTTGCTTGGATTCAAGTTCCCTGATCAGTTTTCTAACAAAATCAAAACAACAATGAGAAACTATTTTCCACTTTTCAAATTCCAGTTGAAATTTTTTTTATAGCAGTCAATGCTAAGATGGGAAAGGGGCGCGTAATGATTTCTAATACTCGGCAGGTAGAAATGAAGACTGGCAAACAGCTTGGCAACAGCCTTGCAAAAGTTCATATCCTTCGGTCCACTAATTTCACTCAGGATTTTAACCTAAGGAAATATTTAGAAATGCAAACAATTATTGGTATAGAAGGATATTGTTATAAACATCTTTCTTACTGTTATTATTAATCCTCGCTTGAGGATATTTTTCCATTGATTTTTAGAGAGAACGGAAGGAAGGGGGAGAGAGAGACACACATCGATCGGTTGCCTCCTACATACACGCCAACCATGGCTTTAAATTTTACCTACATCCTAATGACTTCTAAGTTCTACCTCCAATTTGGATTTCTCTCCTGAACTCCCGTCTCCTATATCAAACTGCTTACTTTACTTCTGCACTTGGAGATCTATTAGGCATTTCAAACTTGTTCAAAATAGAATTCTTAATTTCCCCTGCACTCTGATATCCATCTCTGAAATGTGCTCTTCCCCTAATCTTCCAATCTCAGTAAATGAGCACCGCCATTTACCTTGCTGCCTCGGCCCAGTTATTAATAGGAGCCCCCTATATAGTAGAATTACAGGTTATTTTTCTGCTTTTCTTTGCACTGTTGAATGAACATCCTTGATCAGAGTAAGAATCAATCATATTAGAGGAGAGAACAGATTCAGGAATAAAATGTAGATATGGACTCTGTGAATTTAAGGCAATAGGTCAAGACACAAAGACCTGGTCAATAAACAGGTAAAATAAGGAGATGGAAACTGGAGACTAAGAAATGTTGACATCTTTATGGCCAAGGGGGCAAGGTGGCCAAGAGCAGCCAGTGCATGAGACCGACATGGGCAGCACTTGGCATTACCACCTGTGCTGGGCCAGACCATAACATTGGGCTTGGGTTCTAGACTAGGGAAGAATGACCCCAGAGACTCAGTTCAAATGTCCTTCTCCTTGGGATCACTCCTGAAGTAGCACAAAAACTATGAACAGGACAGGGTACAAATGAATGGACTTGGCCCCCATTCTCTCTTATCCCAGAGAGGTGCACCCAGACTTAGCTGAGTGAAGTATCTGCCAGGTCAGAGGAGCACAGAATCACAGATTCGATTCTTTCTATATCCTCAGCTAGAAACTGATATGACCATGTAAGGCCACAGCTCTGCTTCTTTAGCCAGTCAAGTCATCTAAGCTTAAGGTCCTGGTTCCAAGCCTTGAAATTCTGCACCAGGTAATATTCCATTATCTGCTCCTGCACTTCAAGGCCAGGCTCATTCTCTTTCTGTTTGCCTAAGGGCTTTCCGTGTGCAAGACCGGCCACAGGAATCTGTATTAGTCAGGGAAACAGAATCAACAGGATATGTATATACAGAGAGAGATTTGGCTCACACCATTATGGAGGCTTGGCAAAACCAAAATCTGATGGGGTAGGCCAGCAGGCTGGAGACAAGAAGAGCTGCAGTCCGAGACTGAAGACTATCTGACTGCAGAGTTTCCTCTTGCTGGGAGGTGCGGGGGAGGTAGGTCTTTGTTCTATTAAAGCCTTCAACTGATTGGATGAGGCCCACCCACCTTATGGAGAGTAATCTGCTTTACTCAAAGTCCACCGATTTAAATGTTAATCTCTTCCAAAAAATAGCTTCACTGAAACATCCAGAATAATGTTTGACCAGATATCTGGGCACCCTGGCACATTTAATTAACCCTCATAAGAGACTCATTTCAGGGATCCCTATTTCATGATGAGGCAACTCCATGCAAGTGAAGACAAAGGGGCATGTGTGGTCTAACTGGCTCCACCTTGGGGGATGGTTGGGGAGGGCGTCTGGGAGAGGTTTGTGTAGCAAAGAGAACACAGTGAGTGATGTGTAAATGGCCTAAAATGAGCCTGTGCGCTGTAGAGCTTCTAAATGTTCTCATGTCTGTTACTGACTTCAGAGGGAGTCCATGTAGACCATGAGTCCTGTGGTTGCATATCTGTGATATTCCGCCTGCTCCACCCGCTGGCATCACTGCCTGGAGGAAACCATGAAGCAGAGAGTGTCAGGCGCTCACTCACCTGGTGACCTGGGACTGCAGCATTTGCAGCTGCCTATCGATGAGATGACTATAGCTCAGGAAAACTGAACATACCTGAATATGATCATGCGAGAAAAATAAGAAAGCAATGCATGCTTTCTTATTTTTTAAATTTCCTACAAAAATATTAAAAATATATTTTTATAAAACAAAAGTAACAAATATAAAACAAATACTTGTTGGACAAGAGGAAGGAGAGCAGAGAGTAGGGGTCGGGAAATGAGAGGGCACAGTCAGCAGAACAAGGAAATACATAAAATCTCACTTCGCCTCCTAGAAGCTCCCCCCTGTGCCTCACTCACATCACTGGCTGGACTTGATTCCTTTGTTTTTGCTTCCTGCCATGGCTCTAAGCTTGAATCCTGAATTCCGATGTTACTTGTTATCTGATTCTTATAGTCTACTTTTTTGAACTTGACCTTTGAGATTGAATATGATTAATTTTATAATTAACTAGAGGCCCGGTGCACAGATTCATGCACTAGTGGGGTCCCTCGGCCTGTCCTGTGCCATCTCACAGTCCAGAAACCCTTGGGGGATGTCAGACTGCTGGTTTTGGCCCAATCCCTGCAGGCCAGGCCGAGGGACCCCACTGGTGCAGTGCACCGGGCCTCTAGTATGCATATAAGATCTTTGGTTAATCTCTTCCCACCTTCCCTCTGAGATTCATCAGTGTGTTCCATGTTTCCATGCCTGTGCATTGAGCGTCTGCCCCCTGGTGGTCAGTATGCATCATAGCTACTGGTCAAACAGTCAAATGGTCGGACGGTCGCTTAGGCCCTTATATATATAGACTAGAGGCCCGGTGCACAAAATTCATGCACAAAGGGGGGGTGTCCCTCAGCCTGGCCAGCACCCTCTCCAATCTGGGATCCCTCTCACAATCCAGGACCACTGGCTCCTAACCACTCACCTGCCTGCCTGCCTAATGCTCCCAATTGCCCTCCCTGCCAGCCTGGTCACACCCAACTGCCCTCCCCTGCCGGCCTGATCTGGCCCCCAACTGCCCTCCCCTGATGGCCTGATCTCGCCCCCAACTGCCCTCCCCTGCCAGTCTGATCTCACCCCTAACTGCCTCTGCCTCGGCCCCCACCACCAAGGCTTTGTCCGGAAGGAAGTCAGACATCCAGAAGATGGCCGGTTGACCTGGTCTAATTAGCATATTACCCTTTTTTTAAAATATATATTTTATTGATTTTTTACAGAGAGGAAGGGAGAGGGATAGAGAGTTAGAAACATCGATGAGAGAGAAACATCGATCAGCTGCCTCCTGCACGCCCCCTGCCAGGGATGTGCCCGCAACCCAGGTACATGCCCTTGACCGGAATCGAACCTGGGACCCTTCAGTCTGCAGGCTGACGCTAGATCCACTGAGCCAAACCGGTCAGGGCTAGCATATTACCCTTTTATTAGTATAGATGTTTATGGGAAGAATCTGAGCCTTTTCCCTAACATTTGATTGAGGCTGTATTTGTCATATGGATATTTAAAAGCTTTGTGGCCATTTCGTATTTGTAAAACCATAAATTACAAGGCTGGGTGATGTGTTAGGGTCCATTGAGTTCAACTCTCCAGGGGTTAGGAAACTGAGGCCCAAAGAGGACCAATGACTTGCTCAAGACCAGCATCTCAATGAGATGAGCCTAGGCTCTAGTCAGGGGTCCTCAAACTTTTTAAACAGGGGGCCAGTTCACTGTCCCTCAGACCGTTGGAGGGCCGGACTATAGTTTTAAAAAAAACTATGAACAAATTCCTATGCACACTGCACATATCTTATTTTGAAGTAAAAAAACAAAACGGGAACAAATACAATATTTGTATTTGCATGTGGCCCGCGGGCCGTAGTTTGAGGACCCCTGTGTCTAGCTCACCCGTTTTCCAATGTCCCCTCCCCTGCATCACGGGAGAACAAGCCAGCTGTATTATGAGGAAGAAGCAGGAGCCCCTCCTGCCGACAGAGGCACGTGACTCCTTCCACATACTGCACATTACTCTGGGAATTAATAGCTCAATTTGGTAATACACAAAATGGCTCATGTGGCTGGGGTGGCCCAAGGATCAGCAAAACGGAGACCTGAGCTTCTCTGGATGATAATCAGGAGCGGTCCCTGAAGGGGTAAGATAAACGCATTAAGCTTTTCTGCAAAGCCAATTTTGGGCAATGGTCTGATTGCTGGATAAATCACACCAGGAAATTGAAATGAGTGGCGAGGATGGCACAAGCAGGGTACATTATAGAGTAGCAAACAGTTCTCTATACCTTAGAGAAATCACTCTACCAGAAGTGGAGAGGAAACGTGCAGGATGTCCAGGGAAATAAGGAGAGACAAGGAAGAAGAAAAGAGCACATATGAGATACATAAATCAGAAGGATAAATTGATGTTCAAGGGAGTCTGGAATTAAAATGTAGTAAGAAACTGATAGCTAAAGACAGGGCTGAAAAGGGACAGAAAAATTGAAAGGGAAACAAAAAAAAACCCCAAAAGTACACTTACCTCTCAACAGTTCGTGGACTTGATGATTTATTCACAGTACATTTTTGAATGTCAGGTTAGACTGACATGACCATGGAGTAGAGAACTCCTGCCCTCCCTCTTTGCTCACCTACACACTGAGAATACAAATTGGTGTGATGCCAAAAAAAAGAGCATGAAGAGGAGATAGAATTTATCGCAGCCTTAGCTATCAATAATTTATTGAGCCCTAACCGGTGTGGCTCAGTGGATAGAGCGTCAGCCTGTGGACTGAAGGGTCCTGGGTTCGATTCCAGTCAAGGGCATGTACCTGGGTTGCGGGCACATCCCCAGTAGGGGGAGTGCAGGAGGCAGCTGATCGATGTTTCTCTCTCATCGATGTTTCTAACTCTCTATCCCTCTCCCTTCCTCTCTGTAAAAAATCAATAAATATATTTTAAAAAAATAAAATAATTTATTGACTTATTCAGCTACTCAAACATATTTATTGAGCATCTGATATATACCAGGCATTGTACTAAGGTTTCTGTCCTCATTGAGCTAACACCTGAAA